TTGCTGCAGCAGCTGCTGCAGCTGCTGCTGCAGCAGCAGCTGCAGCTGCAGCAGCAGCTGCAGCAGCAGCAGCAGCAGTAATGGTATTTAATTACCTTTTATATGAAGAGAGCCGCGAGAGCAGCAGAGGCAGCAGCTGTGCTGTTAAACAAATAAAAACGCAAGAGACACACAACCAGCAGACCCGATACCAGTGATCTCGCTGCCGCTGCTGCTGCTGCTGCTGCTGCTGCTGCTGCTGCTGCTGCTGCTGCTGCTGCTGCTGCTGCTGCTGCTGCTGGCTGCTGCCGGCTGGATCGATGGCAGCAGCAGCCTGAAACGGCGTCCACTCGCGTACGCGCGTCGGTGAGCTGCTGGGCACCACCACAGCCACCTGTTGATTTGTTTTTATTGAAATTATTATTTTCGGTGTTTGCATGCAAAACAAAAAAAAAAGAAAAAAGAAAGAAACACCAAAAAACCCTTACTGTAGTGAACTTCAATATCTCGACCGAACCAACCAACAACTCCTCGCCGCTGCTGCTGCTGTTGCTGCTGTTGCTGCTGCTGCTGTTACTGTGTGCAGTGAACACGAGGCGGTCACATGGGCCTGCAGCAGCAGCAACAGCAGCTGGGTGGAGGCGAATGAGGAGCTGCTCTTCTGCTGCAGCTGGGGTTTCGGTGCAGGCAGAATTGCAGCAAACCTTCAGCAGCAACGGCAAGCGGCACTCGTGGCAGTAGAGGGTCTTCAGGTTGCTGCTGTTGAGCCCGAGAGCAGCAGCAGCGCCGCGGTATCTAACAGGTTGCAGCAGCAGCAGCAGCAGCAGCAGCANTTGAGCCCGAGAGCAGCAGCAGCGCCGCGGTATCTAACAGGTTGCAGCAGCAGCAGCAGCAGCAGCAGCAAAAGGAAAGCAAGCTGCTGCGTCGTCATTTGCTGCTGCAGGCCGATCCCAAGCACAAAGTCAATATACTTTTACTTTATTCAACTCATGCAGGCGAAGAAAACGAAGAAAAACTAAAACAAAACGCCAACAAACCAACGCTTTCTGCGCGCTCTTTCGGGTGTACGTACACCGCAAGATGAGCAGCAACCGACCCAGAAACCGCGACGGAATACACCAAAGAATTATTTATTATTATTTATTATTATTTATTATTATTTATTATTATTTATTATTATTTATTATTGTTTATTATTGTTTATTATTTATTATTATTTATTATTATTTATTATTATTTATTATTATTTATTACTACTGTGCAAACAAACTACTGTGCAGGTAAACTTCAGCAAGAGAAGGAAACAGCCGTGCCGCTGCAGCGTGAGAATGAGAGTTATATATAAATAAATAAATATATTAATCTATTTATATATATATATATATATATATATATATATATATATATATATA